CCTTATAACATTGTATAAGATAAAACTCATTGCCCTCTAAGAAATTACAGTTGAACAGTAAGGTCAATTTGTGAATTAATAATCATAATACAAAGATGTACATGAGAGAGTATTGAAAAATCACAAATAAGTAAGAATTAGGACCCAGAAAAACTTCTCAAAAGGGAATGTTTTTCAGGGCCAAAAAGAGTTCTCTAAATGGAGAATTGGGGACATGGATATGTCAGGCCAAGAGAACATGTTTAATCAACAGTTAAGACCTGAGATAACATGATTTATTTAGGAAATTATAAAAATTTGAATGTCTAGAGTAAAACAGTGTTTATCAAGGAAATGACAGGAAATAAGGATTAAAAAGGTAAAGGCTAGATCATAAAAACCTTTTTTTTTTTGAAGCTAAAAATAACTGAAAGCCAAGTATGGACTTTCTTTTCTCCTTACTTTTGGTTGCCTAGACTAAGACAGACTTCTATGCCTTCAGGAAATCAGTAAGGTAGAGGAATAATAGTCCTATAATTCTCTACCTACAAATAGAATTTCAAATGGAACTGGTCAAATGCTACTAAAAGGGAGACATAAGGTCAGAGATACCATAGTATCATCTACACTCTTTCTAAAGCAACAGAATGTCTAGCAAGGTAAAGATGGGGAAAACACATGGGGTTTGGGGTCAATTCAGTGGTAGAGTGTGTGGTAGTATGTGTGAGGTCAGACAGTAGTCAAAACCAAAACACCAAAACAAAACAAAAAATTACCAGGACCTTGGGATATCACATACGCACAACCCAAATGATAAAAGTTGACTGGTAAGGATTCTTATCCCCAAGTCTCTTCAAAGGCCGCTTCCAGTACCAGTTGCATTAGTTCAGGTTCTTCAATAAGCAGGCAACAAATGGAATTTAAAGTACAAGAAATTTATTGAGGCAGTAGTTTATAAAAATAAAGGGATTGAAAACAGAGTGGGTGGCTACATCAGAACCCACTGTGGCTTAGTCTATGAAAGAAAAGGAAAGGGAATAAATTGGGCAGAAAGAGACTGGAAAAGTCTTAGTCAACGTAATGCAAAGCTTTGGTGCAGAGGTCGCTGAAGAGAAGCCCAGGGTTTGACACAGTGACCCTGCCAGTGGAGTCATTAATGAGGAGCTGCCCTGTAGGAGGATGAGTCCTGCATAAACAGTGCGGCAGACCCCAGGGGGCTGCAGTTGGAGGCTGTCAGCTAACTGTTCCCTGCGTCAGAATCTCATCTGAAAGGTCCACAGCAAGCACCATATTGGAACATGAATATTGGGGTTTTTGTAAGACAAAATTTGTGTCTCTTTTGCTACTGTGAATAATACCCTTTAATTTGTCTTTAACCAATTAATTACAGATATATAGGAAAGATGTTGATTGTTTTGAATGTACTTTAATCTATTTAGCTACTTTACTTTGAATACTTACTGAAGAATTTTTTCCATTGTTTCTCAAGAATATCAACATATTCACCTATAAATAATAATTTTGTTATTCTTTTGAAAAATAGTGCCTCTATAACTATATAATGCTACCTTTTGGTCTGAAGTTATCTCAATTTACCAAGTGGTTTAAACAACAACAACAAAAAAATACAGTTAAAAGTGTGCTGGGTATGGTGGTACACACCTATAATCCTAGTTACTCAGGAGGCTGAGGAGGGAGGATCAAAAATTCAAGGACCAACTGGGCATAATGGTGCATGCCTGTAATCCAAGTACTTGGGAGGCTGTGGTAGGAGGATTGCCAGGAGTTCCAGGCCAGACTGAACTGGATACATAGTGAGTTCAAGGCCAGCCTGAACTACATAGCAAAACTGTCTCAAAATTTTTAAAATTTAAAGATAAATGGCTGAGGATATAGCTTAGAACTTCCTAGGTTCAACCCCCAATAGTACAAAAACAAAATACACACACATGTCGGAATTGCCCCTAACTTTTATTTCTGAGATTAAAAAAAATTAAAAGATTATAACTAGAAAAGGAGTTGATTTGCTTAAGAAGGATACATTTTGAGTTGTTTCCATAGATAAAACTTCAAGTAAAAGCAGCCAAAAAAAACTCCATAGAAAACTATACAATTATCTTAGTCTTACCTCCTGATTTCTCTTAATGCTATAAATGATTCTTAATTGTTCTTACTTCTTATCCTAATATAGCAAAAAGTCAGTAGACTTTCTCTGCATACCTAGTTTTTTACTCCGATGTTCTTTATGATGGGTTATTGTCTACTTTGCCACCTGTTTTGCCTTGACTCAGCAGTATTTTCAAGTAAATCATAGTCTTATGTACACAAAATGAATTTTGCACTTATTTAGTAGCAGACCTCAAATGGATATCGGCAGTGCTTTTTAAATGTTATTTGAAGAATCCTTGGAGCAGGTGAAGTGTAGACTTGCATTCTGCATCCAGTTAGGGTCAGAATGTATAGACAATGTGATCGGATTCTTGCAGGAAAGTATGTGTGTTTGTGCTCTGTCAGTTGAGACTGTAGCCGCCTTTTACTGGCTGCAGAAGTGCCCTCCATGTACTGGTCTGTGAACTCATAGTAAACCATACCACCTCTGATCCAACTTCACCATGTTGGTACTATTTGAAATGTCCGATGGCTATGCCTCAATAGGTTCTAAATGAGAAACTTCAAGAGGTTGATAGTTTGGCAGAAGAATTTGAAATTTCAGAGAAAGCAACTAAAATAGTAAAAGATGAAGTTATTTTGAGAAATTTCAGGATACAGCAGAAGCACTAGCATTCACAGCTCTGATGGAGGGCAAAATCAATAAGCAACGAAAGAAAGTTCTGAAGAAAGTAGTAAAAGAAGCCCATGAACCTCTAGCTGTAGCTGATACTGAACTAGGAGGAGTCATAAAGGAAAAGCTGACTCTCAGTTGTATCTACAGTCCTGTTGTTAATGAGTTTATGAGGAGAATCACAATGGATGGTTTGATCCCTGGGGTAGAACCATGTGAAATGACAGCCATGTGTTTTAGATTGACTCACAACCTGTCTCAATACAGACCTAAATTTAGTGCTGATAAAGCAACAATGATTGTTCAGGCAATTTCCTTGTTAGATGACTTCAATAAGAATTAAATAACTACATTATGCATTGTAGAGCGTAGTATGGCTGGCATTTCCTAGAATTAGGAAATTTACAACTTGACGTATTGCAAGTGTTTACAGAATGTTAGAGATAGGAAGACTCGGCTTCCACCATGCTTTCTGAATTGTTAGAGGACGTTGAAGCTGAAGTAAAAGCAGCTTCAGTGGGAACAGAGGTTTCTGAAGATGTTTGCAATGCTTTGCAACTTTGCACCCAAGTGATTTAAATCTCCAGAGGTAGAACCCAGTTGTATGAGTATTTTCAAAATTGAATAATGGCTGTTGTACCCAATGTTACAGTCATAGTTGGTGAGTTAGTGGAGCATGGCTGATAATGCTCGTGCAGATTCTCTTTTGAATTTGGCCAAGCATGTAGCTTTTACAGTTCAGATTCTTGGATCAGAAAAGGCTCTTTTCAGAGCCCTCAAGTCTAAGTGATACTTCTAAATGTGGCCTCATTAATCATACTTCCCTTGTAAACCAGAAAAGTACCAAATACAAAGGAAAGATTTTTCAAATGCTGAGACCCAAAATCATTTTGGTTATTTGTTATGATGCTTTCAGGAAGAGTTCAAGTTCTGAAATGGGAGATGAGGACAGAGCCAAATTACAGGCCAAATTGAGACACAATAAGTGGAACTAGAAAAGCAACAGCAAAAGCAGAAAAACATGACAACAGAAGTTAAGATTTGTGATTCTACACTTCCCAAACCCAAAATAGAACAGGTAGATAAAGAGGATGACGTGATTTAAAAGAAAACAAAAAAGCCAAGATTAAAGTTACAAAGTTGAAGAGGAGGAAGAAGAGGAAGAAGTACTAGTAGTAAAAGAGGAGTCAACTATGAAGAAGAGAAGAAAAAAAAAAAGAGAATAAAAAGAACCATTTCTGAGTAAGAGCCATGTACCAGCACAGCAATTCCTAGTCCAGAGAAAAAGAAAAACACTAAGGACTAATGGGAGGGAACTGCAGTTCTCTTGGCTAAACACTGCAGTCAGGTAGGCGTGCACCAGAACTGCCCTGGTATGTAACCAAGAAAGGGCAGGCTCAATGGGATAAGGATTAGTCATCAATGGGATAAGGATTAGACCTAATTGTGTCATAACATTAACTCTGTTAACCTTATTATGTTAACTGTCTGTTATCCTTCATTTCTTAGTTTTTGATAATACAAATTAAACTATTTTCTTTGTAAAAGAATGTGATTTTAAAATTTTATTGTGGAAAAAATTTTAAATATAGGCAAATGGTTAATTTTTTAAAATCTTGTCAAGCAGGGATAACCACTATTTGTATTTTTGTGGATATTCTTCTAGTATTTTACCCCCATCCATACAGTATTTTTATACATGCTACCTGAGTTATGAACAGTTATCACATCATAGAAGCCTTTCTCAGCAAAATATCTTTTAAATACTGTACACCACTATGCAGCTGCTTCTTAGCTTACCCAATCCCATTAAGTAGATGTTTATTTCTAATATTTTTATGCAATGCTTTTTAGCTTTGTCATTGAAAATGTTAAAGATCAGGCCTCTCATCCACAATTCCTTTTCTGGAAGGACTTTTTCTGGCAATTCAGGTGTTAGAAAAATGAAGGACTTCAAAGTCAGACTCTAAAATGGACTCCTACTCTACCACATACTATTTATGTGACATCAAAAGGGCATTACTGATACAAAGAACCTACATGTGATAGCAGTTTCTTAACTCCTTTTCTTTACCTACTGATTTGTGCAAGTATACTAGTGATTTTGAAGAACTACATAAAGGCATTTTAATATTCTTATTCTTTGGTCAAAACAAAGACAACTAATTTTTTTTGGCTGCTAATATTTTCTGTAAGTCAATTTTAACATTTTCATTTTTGTCTGTTTTTTTTCTTCTAGAGATAAGACTTCAGTTTCCACAACTGACTGGAGTGCTTACCCTTGCTTTCTTTATTCATAATTGTATTATCACACTCTTGAAAAACAATAAGAATCAAGAAAACAATGTGAGTAATTATCTGAGGAAATGACTTCTGTATTTCCTGAGGAGGGAAAATTTGAGGCACTTTATATTTGGAGAAGAGCTATGTACTTTGATGCAGGACCTTAAGTTTTTAGTTTGAACCATAGAGTAGTGGTCAGCAAACTTGTCCCATGAATGTACAGATTGTAAATATCTGGGCTTCCTGGGCCTTATAGTCTTGTTACAAATACCTGAATCTACCACTGTGACATGAAAGCAGTAAATAAAACAGATGGATCTGTTATCCTAGGCAAACGTGCATACCTGTTATCCCAGTGCTCTAGTAGGCTGAGGCAGGGGGATCACAAGTTCAAGCCCAGCCAGGGCAATTTAGCAACTTAGGGAGACCCTGTTAAAGTTCAAAAAACGAAAAAAGAAAATGGCTTGCAATGTAATTCAGTGCAAAAGCCTTGGTTTTAACCCCTAGTGCTGCAATTAGGTAGGTAGGTAGGTAGATAAACAGATAGACAGACAGATAGATAGGACTGTATTTCAGTACAACTTTATTTAATTTTAAAAAACAGAAAATCAGTCAGATTTGGCTTATGGAATACTGTTTTCCCAGCCTCTGACATAGAGCAACCAGTAAAACAAAAGGAAATACAACTATTAAGCCAACAATGGTAGTAAAAATTATAAAAATAAAGAATACCCAGTTGATCTAAAAGAAGATAAAGAAAAAGGAAGCAAAAAATACATAGGACAACAAAAACAAATAACAAGATAACAGTTAAAAACAATCATGTATCAACATGCATTAAATATAATTGCATTAAATATAAATTGTCCATACATTGCAATGAAAGGAAATTTTAATACCAAATTTATGAGATTGCAGCTAAAGCTCTACCTAGAGGGAAATATATAGCTGTGAACACCTACATTAAAAATGAAAGATCTCAAATCAAAACCTAACCTTCTACCTTAAGATACTGAATAAAAAGCAAACTAAACCCAAATGAACCTGAAGTTAATCAGTTATTTGTTGCCATGTCTGAAAATTGTAAGTTCAATTTGAGAGCTTCTAACCATGTAGGCAAAAATCATGATGGGACTGTACTAGAGGTCTACAGTCATTAGTGACGTATAAAGGAAGGTGTTACTCACTGTACCTAAGGATTTTGAGGCTTTAAACAAAGTGTAATATCTAGCAGACTCATTATGAAAGCAAAATAACATTCTAAGTAAAGACAAGTTAGCTCTCATTTAGGCAAGAATATATGTCAGAAAATGTGAGGACTCTGAATTCACCATGTTGATTTTGAATTAGTCATTCCAAACTCAGAAAACAAGATTATGAAAGTAGAAAAAAATGAAGGAATAGAAGTCTCTTCTGTATAATTTTTGGACTTGGATCTAAAGACATCTGTGACAAAAAAAACAAGATTCCTAAACAGGTGTACTAATCAGATTTTTCCAAGTTTAACTTAACATTTGTACACTTTTTTCAATAAACATAACTTTTTATTTGTATAACTGGGAGGGGAGGGCAGAAGATCATCTACTTCCTTTATTATCAGCCGAATACAGGTCCCTATAACAACTGCATGGAAATATGGATTAACCTCTTGATATTTCTTCACTGTGTTTGACTCAGAACCTATACATTCTTTAGTTTTGTTTTTGTTTTGTCTTTTGTTGTTGTTGTTTTGGTTTTTTGGTACTAGAAATCGAAGTCAGGACCTAGTGCTTGCCAGGCAGGCACTTATGCTGCTAAACTATATTCCTAGCACCTAGTCTGCTTTTATTTAGTTTATTGTTCTGCTGTATTCTTCTATTCATTCTTTCTCTCTCTGTGTCTCTCTCTCTCTCTGTCTATCTATCTCTATCTCTCTCTGTCTCTCTGTCTCTGTCTCTGTCTCTCTTTGTCTCTCTCTCTCTCTCATGACGTAAAGAATACTTTAGGCTGACCTTACACTCACAGTGTAGCCCACACTAGCCTTGAACTGTGTAAGTCCTTCTGCCTTAGCCTCCTGAATGCTGGGATTACAGGCATCTGGCCACCCTGCTTTGTTCTTTAAAATGATTTGAGTTGCCTTGTATCTTAATTTGTTACTTACTTTGTTCTTCATATAAATCTGTAGTTTACTTGGCTATACACTAGTGGAGGTTTTTATGTAAATGTTTGGGGTAAATGTGTGTGGTCAGTTGCTGTCATTTTTCTCAGTGAATGCTCTGGGTAGTATTTTCATTATGCATAGTATACCAAACAAGTTTTAAATTGTAACAGAGTATGCTCCCAGACTTACTTCTGACCCCCCCCCCCTTTTTTTTTGTCTTTTTCCTTTTTATTGGTACCGGGGATCGAACTCACGATTTCCTGCTTGCAAGGCAGGCGCTTATGCCGCTGAGCTAAATCCCCAGCCCCTCTGGCCCTTTTTAAATCCAGTCCTCATTCTAATTGATAGTCTGTTTGTTTTATTTCCCTACCATCAATCCTTTTAGCCATTGCTTATTCATGAACCAGAGTACATTACCTTATTGATACAGATCTCTTGACATATTGCCAGTTCTATCACCTGTATCTCTTAATATTATATATATGTATATATAAATATTTATATTTACTTTGAGCCTCATCTTCTAAATAATAGCTTTTTCTACCTTTTCCTATTAAATGAGATTTCAGAAGGCCTTATCTTAAGGCATAGTACAATGATGGCTTAGGTTTGAACCAAAGAATAGTAAGTCTTACATACGTGCATGCTATTCAGAGGTGGAATGTTTTCCAGATCACACTAAACCACAGATGCTTTTATAATAAGATCATCATTTCTGTTCATTAGAGTATTTTCAGATGAAAACTGGTAGGCATCTCCTAAGGTCTACTGAATATGACTGTGAAAAAGAGCTTTTCTGATTGTAGTACTGTATTTCTCATACAGCTCTTTATGTGTTGTTACATTACATGCTTTGTTAGTCATAAGTTGTTGCCTCTTCCAGTTTTTCATTATTATTGTTTATTTTAAGTGTACTACAGACTGGTAAGCTCTCCATCATTGTCAGAACTTGATTGAAATGTTGGCTTCACCAGCTATTCATATTACCATGAACAGGTTTTATAAGTTTGCTATCGTTAACTTGCTTATCCATGAAATGAAGAAATTATGAAATGAAATATATGTAGCTGGGGATTTAGCTCAGCTGTATAACCAAGCGTGAGGTCATGAGTTCAATCCCTGGTACCCTCCAAAAATAAAAAGAAAAGAAATATATAATATGCTTAACACAGAATGCAGCATCTAGAAACAATTAATAAATTAAACCAATGTGTTTATTATATTTATCATACTAAGTTTCTTTTATGTGCTAGGTGTTATCCTAGGGGATATAAAAATGAAAAAACCAAAGTCCCTGTCCTCAAGTAAAGTGAGGACTCATAGTAAAGTGGTTTGGACAAGCTTAAAATACCAATAGCTAAAAAAAAAAAAAAAAAAAAAAAATACCAATAGCTGAGCATAGTGGTGCATATCTGCAATCCCAGTACACAGAAGGCTGAAGCAGGAGAATCACAGTGAGTTCAAGGCCAGCCCAAACTATATAGTGAGATACCCTGTCTCAAAAAAAGTATCTGAGGACTGGTAAACTTGAGTATTGTTTGAGGGCCAGAGGACATTTTTCTGTCCATCTGAGGACTTTTGTACTGTTAACATGGATTACTTTTATAATAAAGATTGATAGTTACAGCACAGTGTAGTAGTTGCCATATTTAAGATATGTATATAGTATCATCAGAACAGGAAAGCAAAAGGGGAATCTGTCTTAACTGAGAAGCCCTCCTACCTTAGTCTTTGCATCTTTTTGTCTTCATTTGATCTCCCCCAGAGAGCCAGGCATGGTGGTACTCACCTGTACTCCTAGCACTCACTTGTAATTGCAGCACTCAGGAAACTGAGGCAGGAGGATGATTGTAAATTCAAGGCCAGCCTGGACTACATAGGGAACTCTGTCTCAAAAAACAAAAACAAAAAATTTTTTAAATAAAAAAACTTTTCCCTCTAAAGTGTACTTTGAAGAACACCTTTTTTTTTTTTTTTTTTTTTTGCAAGAAGTCAGACCAAAATAAAATGGTGACCAGGTAATACACAAAGACTGTCCATGAAATGATGAGTGTCCCTCTTCTTATACAGTATATAGCTGTTTGTCACAACTGTTTTACCTCCCAAGATTCTTTTTTTTTTTTTTTTAACAAGGCCACCTTTGTTTTTCAGTGGCTTGAGTAGGTTGAGGGTAGAATGACTTTCAGACACCATTATGGACGGCGACTTACCCCTTGACAGGAAACCCAGGTGTTACCTGGTTCATTTCTGTTTTCCCACACAAAAGTTTAAGGCTACCCTATGGATAACTGATATCTATCCTGCCATAGGCCCTATAGCTTCATGAATTAAAGAAGAAAATTTTTGAACCTCCCTCTGGAGGTTTGATCATCTTCCTTTCCTTCAACCCTCAATAATAAGCTCTTCTAGCAGGTGGAACCAATCTTCATAATCCTTCAGCTTCATAAATTTACCCATCCAATTAAGGGTATGCTTTGTTTTCAGGCTAATGTAATCCTGACAAAGATTTCTTGTATGTGGTTACTTGCTCTTTAACTGGTTGGTTGATTGGTTAGTTTTTTTGCAGACATGATTTCACTATGTAGTTTAGACGGGACTTGAACTCACTATGTACCCCAGGCTGGCCTTGAACTGGCAGTGATTCTTCTGCCTCAGCCTCCCAAGTGCTTTTTAATGGAATTTATAGCAGTTCAAGTTTATAAAACTTGACTATGCTTTAGCCCATTTAGGGAGAAAAACTTATCTAGAAAATTACAAATGTTTCCTAATTCCAGATGTCCAAACATTCTCACTGTTATTGAACTTTTTAAAAATTGGTATATAATTTTTAATCTATTTTCTTAGCTTTCAAGGTAATCTGTATTTAAAGTGAAAAATGAATAGGCTTATTGCCACACACAATTTAGTTGTACTAATTGTTTGACTGTAACCGTCAGTGCTGATGGAGAGAGCCTGCAGGCTGGGGAATCTGTTCTGTTTGGATCTGACAGCTGGCTGCACTCACTATCTTGGAGGGTGGGAGCTGCAGTTGGAAGAAGCATTCCACTTTATTTAATGTTCTATGTTTGTTTACTGATTCCAGTAATAACATTGTGCAATTATTTGAACAGCTGCCTTTTGATTTCCTTCTGTTTACTGTTTAGGTTTATTAAGCTTGTCCTTAACACTTACTTGTTGAATGCTCTTTAATTAGCTCTCTTTTATTAAACTTGTTTTTATGTGTTCTACTCCCTTGTGATCTATGCATAACTTTGATGATTTAATTTACTAAAAGGAAAAATTTTTTTAAACTCGTGGTCCTAATGAAGGTGGCTTATACTTACTTTGTTGTTGTCCCTTAGCCTTGTTACTATAGTTAAATATTTTAAAATTTGATAAATAAATTACCTTTTGGAATTAAATCAGAATTTCAATGATGTTAAGCCACAGTTTATGTTAGCTTTCTAAGTCTGCCAACAGGTAGCTTAGTCAACATACTTCAGACTAGTTTTTAAAAAATTGGCATGATAATTGTAAAGTATGTGGGTTTTGTTTTAGTTACTTTCTATGAAAAGATTGGGTGGAAAGATACATATATACACAGGATTAGAAAGATAAATTTAGTATTTTCAGTTTTATTCAGTATTAGACTTGCCACAAATTTCTTCATATTGTAGGAACTTTATTTTGTATTTATAGGTAAGAGATTTGTGCATTGCTTATATGCTGGTGACATTAACTTACCTCTATATTGGAATCCTGGTTTTTGCTTCATTTCCTTCACCACCATTATCCAAAGATTGTATTGAGCAGGTAAGTGCTGTGTATCCTCTCTGTGTGATTGTTTATAACTTCATAGTTATAAACACAAGATGACAACAGGCAGATGTAATAGCAGACAAGCCTGGGTTTAAATAAATCTCTGCCATCTATTTGAAGTGCAGGAATTTTGGCACCTTCTCTATCCTTTCTGAGTTTATTTCTTTTTCTATTAAATTTTATAATACATACACTGTTTGAATTTTAGATGTGCTTTGAATACTAGGCACATTGTGTGCTCACATGACCGCTATCATGTATGTGTATTTCTCTTTGTGTAAGAACAATTATCAGCAAGTCTTGTGAATTTATAAAACATTCACCTTGGATCCACTTAAAATCTCTTGTTTTCCAAAGCCCAGATCTGAAAATGCCCTGGATAAACTATTGTTTGTCTATTACTAACAATAGATCTGACTCCCACTTAGATACAGAGTATCAGCAAAACAAAGACAACGTATTTGGCTGTTTGAAAAAGGGACAGAGCCAAGCATGATGGCACAATCCTGTAATCTCAGCATTTAGAGACTGAGGCATATGGTTCTCAAGTTTGAGGTCAGCTGGGGCAACATAGCAAATCCCAGACCGATCTGTACTACAGAGGGAGAACCTGTCTCAAAACAAAAATGAGAGACAGACAGACAGAGAGGAATAGCACACAGAAGAATGAATACAAAAGAAAAACCTTGCTGGGTATGGTACCATATGCCTATGCACTGAGCTCTCTAGAAGGCTGGGGCAGAGGTAGGGATCTTTGATACTTAACAAGACTGTCTCAAAAAAATTTTTAAAGGGCTGGTTGTGTAGTTTAGTTTGAAGGCTCCATAGCTCAATCTCCAATACTACAAAGAAAATCTTTTACCAAAAAGTTGCCATAAGTAAAATATTTGTATTCAATTAATCAAAACTTGGGAATAATAGAGTAATGTGACTGAAAAATTTCTGATGAAAAACAGTATTTCATAAGTGATTTCCTAGTCAAAAGAAATTGCCTTAGTAAGAAACAGGGAGACAGATCTGCAAAAAAAAGAGGACCAAGAAATGAAAGGAGAGGGAGGGAATGAAAAGAAGAATAAAAACACATTAGGTACATGAACCAGCTCTACATGAGGAATGTAATCATTTGTGTACTATAAATATGTACCAATAAAATAAAATAATAAAAAAAATTGCTCTAAAAGAATCTAGGATATAATTTAAGCAGAATTATAAGGTTTATTTCAGCAGAATAGTATTAATAGTATTTTCATCTCTGTAAGAGAGATCATTGTTGTCGTGATAGTTTGAAATGTTCTTGTTCTCTTGATTCCCTTAATTCTAGAGGTTGCTTGACAGCCAAATGTTTGTGAAGAATTTCCCTTACATGAACAATCCTATTTAAAGCCCTCTTGCTTGGAGTATTGTACTAGAAACAGGAAAAAAAGTAGTTTTGGTCTTTTGACACACAATCTCACTGTGTTGTTCAGGTTGACCTGAAATTCGTAGCAATCCTCCTGCCTCGGCCTCCCAAGTGCTGGGATTACAGGCATGTACCACCATTCTTGCACTTCAGAAGAGAAAGGGGCTTGTCTTGCTTTGTGTGTATTTTTATGTGTATTTTTGGTTTGGTTTTGATTTTGGTTTTCTGAGACAGTCTTGCTACATAGTTCAAGCTAGTTTTGAACCCCTGTGTAGCCCAGGTTGACCTCAAATTCTTCTCCTTCTGCGTCAGCCTACCAAGTACTAGGATTATGGGTGTATACCACCATGCCTGGCGTTAAAATTCAGAGCAATTAACTTTTTAAAGAGATTACCAAACTAAAACCGAAAAAAGCATTATGAAAGAATGCAGAAATAAATTCTTGTTATTGATAGGCTATACAATAAAATACTAAGTGATAGATATAATCTTACCTTATTCTGTAATATTTACTTTGAAAGTGTTACAGTGCTTCAGAGGAAGAAAACCAAGAGAACTAATAAGGATAAAATAGCAAATTTAATTTGCAATTTAAGAATATTAAAAACAAATTTGGGCATCCTATTTGAACCTTATAGGACAGTGCTTTTGTCTATCTGTAGTATATTTTTAAAATTTTTTCTTTGTTGTTTTAATGTCAGATCAGTTGCAGCCTAGTACTTTTGTAAAACAAAATAAACAATATAGCAATGTTAAATTTCCTTAAAAGTTTGCAAACACTTTCAGTTACTGTACTTCATTGAAAAATAGTAATCAGTTCATATACAATTTGAGTACTACCTGTGTTAAAAATAAGTAGAAGACATTCCATTTTATGAACCTTACATTAAATTTGATTTTTAACATTACCTCATTATCTTTCTTGATTTAGAATTTTTTAGACAACTTCCCTAGCAATGACATCCTATCCTTCATTGCAAGGATATTCCTGCTGTTCCAGATGATGACTGTCTACCCACTTTTAGGCTACTTGGCTCGGGTCCAGCTGTTGGGCCATGTCTTTGGTGACATTTACCCTAGGTAAGAGTTTTCTCTTGACCAGTAGGATATGCCAAGCAACAAATGACTGTGCAAACAGGTCAGTTTAAAGTATGACTGATCCTTTTGCTATAAAAATTTGTCTAATGAAAATAGTTACTAAGGATAGATCACTGGTGTTTCTTTCCTAGAAGAGCTTTAAATATAGAAGCCACTCCTTTATCCAGAATGACTTAGTTTATTCCCTTAGTTCTGATACTAGTCTTATTTATCTTATTATTTGCTTGCTATTAATCTACACATTACTAAGTATTTGGTAGTACCCATGTTGGCATGTGAGCTACTGAAAAGCAACACTTTTAATTGCTGGTCATTAGTACTTGTGTGTTTATTAATATTTATGCAGTTTTACTTATATGATCATTTGTTTAGAAGTAAAAGAGGTATATAATGGTATATAATGTGTTTAAATTCTTATTTGATATAAAACAAGTTTAAATTATCATGGTAATTACTCTGGACATTGAAGAACTGTTAGTCCCTTTTGAACTCTGTTCAAAGCTAGTTTCCCTCATCTAGGAGAAATTTCTGTATATTTCTAAGATGTTCTGTGAGGGTGCCTAGTTGATACTACTTTTAAATTAAATTTTATTGTATGTTCATCTTAGTGAAAAATAACTAATCCTTCTTTATTGGGAATAAATTACTTAAACAGAAGAAAACTTTTGAATTTGGGGGAAGTTGCATTTATAGCAATGAACTAAACAAGTCTTGTTTTTGTTATTGTTGTTGTTACTGTTATTTGTTTTTGTCTTTTTGAGGCAGGGTCTCCATACGCAGTTCAGGCTGGCCTTGAGCTCACATTGTAGCCCAGGCTGGTTTTGAATTTGCAACAATCTTCCTGTCTCAGCCTCCTGGGTGCTAGAATTACAGGTGTGCTCCACCACTCTCAGCTCTAAAGAAATACTTTTGAGGCCAGGGATTTAGCTCAGCGGTGTAAGTGCCTGCCTAGCAAATGCAAGGACGTGAGTTTAATCTCTGGTCCAAAAAAAAAAAAAAAAAAGTGGTCTTGATCACTTTTTGTTTAAAGTAAACTGATGGAATCCCCACAGTAAATTTATTTACAAGTATGTTGGCAAACCAAAACCAAGCAAAAATTAAGAGTTGCCAGATCTCCTACATTGGTAACAGCAGTAATGGATAGAGTTAGTCTAGTATTTATACAGTTCTAATCTAGAAGACTAGAGTTCAGTAAATACAAAACTCTTGTTGTGTTTGTGCTCTGTTCTATAATTGTATTTACCAAAATAAATTCAGTGAAGTCATATATGAAAAATTTCTAAGCAAATACAGTGCTCCTGTTTTCTATCTTTATTTTGCAGAAGGATGACTGTTAAAGATTTCTTTTTTTCTTCTTCTTCTTCTTCTTTTTGGAAAATAGGATTTCCCTTTTGTGTTTACATTTTATTTCTCTACACTATCATTTACCCTATAAGTACAAATACTCTACTTGGCATATCTTGGAATATAAGTTTTAGTCCCCTTTTGCTGCTTAAATTTATTGATGAACTCCCAAGATCTGTAGTTGTTGCAGGTGTAAGTATTTAACATGGGAGAAAATAAAACTGAGAATTTTAAAGCATTAATTTCTTTAAAGATGAGTAATAAAACCAGGCAAAATGGCACATGCCTATAGTTCACAGTAGTTGGGAGCAGGAGAATCTTGAATTCAAGGCACCCTGGACAACATAGGCAAGAAAACAAGACCATCTTTTTAAAAAACAAAATTCCTTTTTAAATGAATAACATTTTTTGAGAAATAACTACTGCCAAAAAGTTGTTTTTTACTGGGTTTGGATTACATGCCTGTAATACTAGTACTTGAGAAGCTGAGGCAGGAAGATCACTGTAAATTGACTGCCAACCTGGGCTACATAAGCAAGTTTAAGGCCAACCTGTACTACATAGTGAAACCCTGTCTCAAAAAAAAAAGTCAAAAAAATTTATTTTTCACTTAAAATTCTAGTGTCTGCTTTCTATTAGAAATTTAGGTTCTCTGTTTTTGCATTGGCTATTATTCTATGTTGTTTTCATTTAAATAGGTTTTTAAAATCAGAAAAAAAGAAAGGATACTTTTAATAGCCCTTTCAGATAATTATGGATATTCCTTTTTGATACTGTGCCAAAATTTGACAACTAATAGTTTCTTAGTGGTTACAGTATATAATATGAAACTTGGTTACAAACTTATTAGTCTGCTTGGTTCTTTAACCCTTATGCATTATTTTTTTTTATAACAGTATGGTGGGTCAATATTGGTTCACTGATTTCTTTAGATCCGCACCAGTACCAGGGACTGAACTCCCCACCACGTGCTTGCAAGGCAGGCGTTTATGCCGCTGAGCTAAATCCCCAGTCCAGATCCACTGAATATTAAGAGACTTCATTGTTTGTCATCAAAGCCTACAGTCATTAATATCACACCACCAATTTCATCATAAAAGTTTTGAGTATAGGAAAACTATCAAGTTTAGAGTAGCAAATGCAAGTTCTCCAAAATTCTACTTATTTGAAAGCTCAAATGTTATCAAATGTTAACAAATTCCATCAGTGATTTTCCTGGAAGTGACAAGCTCATTATCATGCATTTTAAAGAAAATGGCAACCTGGTGTGGTGGCACATGCCTATAATCCCAGCAGCTAGGCGGCTAAGGCAGGAGAGTCTCTGCATGTTCAGAGCCATCCTGGGATACATAGTGATTTCAAGGCCAGCCTGAACTACATAGTGAGCCCCTGACTCAAAAACCAAAAACAAAAAAGAAAATGTCTACCAAACACCCAAGTTTTGATAATCATTGCTTGTCTGCATTTCAAGTAAAAATATAGCATTATATGTCATAACTAGACCGGCCCCCAGCTGTACTGTGAAAGTGCTTTGCCTCAAAATGGCCAGTGCATTTTATTGTATAATCTTTATTAGGTATTTCCCTTTTGGTCACATAGAATATTAAAAAGATATATATTCAAAGCATAAAGTTTAGTAAAACTAAGTTTTACTTCTTTATCAGGGACTTTTTATGTATGTGTATATGATTCCACCTACAGCCTCTCACATGCTGAGTACACTGTACCACTGAGCTGTACCTCAGGTTTCAGGGACATTTTTTAATTAAGAAAATCTTCTTAAGAGTATTTTGCTGTAAAGACTATGTTACATAGTTCGGATACATGCAGTTAACTCCATCCACAATAAGGGATCAGCAGTTTTACTAACATTGCTTTTGCCAAGAAAATTATGTTTTATATTATTATTATTATTATTAAAATAATTTTTTATCCCAAAGACTTCTTGAAAGAATATTGGGAAACCCTTGGACTTCGTGCTCATATTTGAGCATATTTTGAGAACTACTACTTTGGAAAGTACCCAAAGTTTTTCCCTTTTATAATACAGAAGTAGCCAATGTCTCAAAGTTATGAAGTAATTTGAAAATTGAAGTCTTGATAAATAGTAAGATCTTGAAGCCAAGCATCTCTGCAATTTATGAAGATGTATATATAGCTCGGTGCTTATTTGTATAAATAATTTTATCTTTAACCCTCTTTCATCTTTATCTGGTTTTAATAATAATAATAATAATAAAGGTTTTAATAATAAAACCTTTGATAATTTGGGCCAAAAGCTTGCTTTGACATACATTTGACTTTTGAAAATCATTTTGAGGATAAATGGAATTATTTCTTGAGCATCAGTATCTATTTACATTTATCTTTATTTCTATCCAAAACTGATTCCCAAATCTTGAATTGTTAAAATATTTAGCAAATATTCTACTCATGATAAATAGTGAATAGTTTTGAGTCAGTCTAAAAAAAAAAAAACCTGTCCATTTTGTCTTTCCCTTAATAAAAAATTATTTTTATTATAAATATAAATACTTTAGAAATATTGTTAAATATAGAAAAGTGGCAAAATTACCTGTAATCCCAAGTCATAATCCAGTCACTACTACAAAAGTGTATTTCCTTCTAATTTTTTTCAAATGTTTTTGGATTTTCACATATGCTTAATAGCTAGGTAGATTTTTTTCAAAATTGCTTAGATGAATTTCTTTTATCATTTAAGTAATAATTTAGCTGGGGATATAGCTCAACAGCACAAGTATCTGCCTGTCAAGCACAAGGTTGTAATGTTTATCCCTAGTACCAAACAAACAAACAAAAAAAGAATGTCATTTAAGTATTAATGATAGATTTAATAATCGTATGGTATTCTTTCGGTAAATTGTTTTCCATAAATATTTTTAGGTTAATAGCTTTTTTCATTGTTTGGCTTATGTTCTCAGGATAATCCAAGTGGCTCAAAGAATGTGGATTCTGGTATATAGAACTATTTTGTGCCTGTAGCATTTAGCCTTTTTATATAATTGCTTTAAAAGGCCAGTTTCGGCTGGGCGTGGTGGCTCATGCCTGTAATCTCAGCACTCGGGAGGATCCTTACAAGTTCGAGACCAGCCTGGGCTACAAAGTGAGCTCAAGGCCAGCCTGAACTGCATAGCGAGACCCTGTCTCAAAAAAGACAAAAAGGCCAGTTTCACTGTCTCATGATCAGCATTGAGGACCATGATTGCCTCCTGTTTTTGCTGTGATTTTACTGGCAGAAATAAACACTCATTTTAAAGCTATTAAGAATGAATTATTGTTATTATTTTTTTTTTATCATCGGTACCGGGGATCGAACTCACGATCGCCTGCTTGCAAGGCAGGCGCTTATGCCGCTGAGCTAAATCTGCAGCCCCTAAGAATGAATTTTAATCTCATATTAATAGTTATAGTTTGCCTATTTTATAATTTTTTCTTTCCTTTAAACTCTGTTCTCATCTTCTAGCATTTTCCACGTGCTCGTTCTTAATATAATCATTGTGGGAGCTGGTGTGATCATGGCCTGTTTCTACCCAAACATAGGAGGGATCATAAGGTACTGCCAGTAAGAAATTGTACCCATTTGTATATTGGTCTTTTTGTATTGCTGTTTTCATTGTTATTGTTTTAATTATATGAAATTCCTGTTTTTTAAACTGGTAGTGTTCAAATGTAATTCCCTAGTATCAACTGAAATGCTCATTAAATTCCATTTATTTATTCTGTAAAGAATTGACTTTAAAAAGCTCCATTATCCCTTAGCTCCAGTTGCTTCTCTCTCCCGTGTGTGTGTGTGTGTGTGTGTGTGTGTGTGTGTGTGTGTGTGATTATATTCCACTGTGTGTTCCTTTTTCTTTATTGAAAATAAGATATATAACTCTCTTGGGAGTACCTAGAAGGTCCTTTTTATGTCAAGGCTATGTCCTATTTTCCTTAATCCATTTCCATTTAAAAATGTATTTTACTGTCAGTTGCAGTAAGAATGTGAGAGATTAGATCTCAGATGGCTCATCGATTAATAACCTTCCCCTTAAAAAATTAAGACAGGTTGAAAAGGTAGGAATAAAGTTGTGACCTCAGATTCTCATGGGAAACCGGGATTCAGAATGACTTGATTTCCCTTCTTTGTTAATGTAGACAGCAGGGTTGAATCACCCTTACCCAAAAAAGTAAAGAGAAACTAGAAGGATCTGATACCTACTGAATATAATGGACTTAGAAGTTCCTGCTGTACTATTTCTCCAGAAAACTAGGAAAGGAAAAAGAAAGTGCCTGTTTCTCTGTCACAGTCTCATGTTGAGGTATTCTTGTTGTTATCTTTAAGAATTATGAAAAAAAGAAAAAAGAATTATGCTGAATGGCATAAGGGCCCTCATCTGTTCTTATTCTTAAACAGATGCTAGCACTCTCTCACAAACTCAGAATGTGTAATTAGTTTAGTTTATTCAGATCAAAGATAGGAAACCCATGTCCAGATGTTTCTGAGTAAGTATCTACAACCACTGGGATGCAAAGGAACTATGGAGATATGAAGGATGAATAAAACTCCCTGTCAAGCAGATGTGGAAAAGATGAACAGGAAATAATATTCTATATTAACAAGTAATATAAAATTTAAACCCAAATATTAGCAAAAGTAAATTGAAAGTAATTTTGTTGCAATATGAGTCTGAGAACAATTTAAATTATACTAGATGTACCTTTATTATAAATTTTAAAATGCAAGATGAATATTAACCTTCAAAGCTTTTATTTTACAGATATTCAGGAGCAGCATGCGGTCTGGCTTTTGTATTCATATATCCATCTCTCATCTATATAATTTCCCTACGCCGGGAAGAACGTCTGACATGGCCTAGATTAATCTTTCACATTTGTATCATCATTTTGGGCCTGGCTAACCTAATTTTTCAGTTTTTTATGTGAAAACTGTTTTCTCAAGATCTGTCATGGTATTTTGAGCCTTGAAAATACTCCTACATAAACTCAATTGTAAGACCTGATGTGCTATAATCCTGAATGTTTTCCTAAGATAATTCGAAAGCAAAGGAAATAGACCATTGATAATTATTTTTTTATTAGAGTGGGAAAAAAGGGCAATAAGAATGATCTTAGTCTCTACCTTTCTTATATTTACTCATTTCTTTGTTCTCATTTGTCTTTTCTGTGTAGAAATGTAGGAAAAATCATAGTGGGCTTGCTTTTAGAAACAAGGTAGATGGATTTATTTTGACTACAATAAGGATTCTCAGGGTGTCACGGCAGCTTATTGCTAGATTGTGTTTCTGTTTCATGTTTCAGTGTACTTCTATTTTTTTTAACATATTTGCAGTTGGCCTACACTTCTACTGTTTAGGACAGTAAACCAAATACCTCGTTTTTAGTTTCCAAGGTATCAGTGTTAATAGAATGAATTTTTAAATGGTCTTTAATCTGTTTGAAGAAGAAAAGTTAAAAATAGTATCAGTATGGGCATTATGATCAGAAATGTATGCAAAATAAACAAAGTAAGAGAGTTTGTTGCTGACTCCTCTTTTATTTCTAGTCTGTTCTCATTAACTTAGGTTAAAATTATAGTTCCCTATCCCAGAGTTTGCATAGGAACAAGAATGACTGTCCTCAGAGACCCAGGAGACTCCTTTGCTCTTTGGATCCATGTGTATTGCATAGGCTGCCATGAGAGGGACAATGGAGAAAGCATGGGCAGAGATGACCAGTTGAGGTCCTGAAGGGGAGAAAAGGAGTGGAGAAGGGGCCAGCAAGGGTGAGACACCCAATATATTATGAATCCTTTAGGCCAGAGAGTGGTTTATTTGCCAGAGGGAAGATTCCTTTAGCTTGTGTATGATCTCTGTAAAAGGAGTTTACTTCTGTAACTAGTAAGCAAAGTTCCACCTCCACAAGAAAAACTTAGATGTACGAAAATAATAAGAGAAACTGAATTCTTGGAATTAATGCTCTCCTGCTTTTTCTACCAAATTTCTAAATGCATGTAATGCAATCTCTGTGTTCTGCATAGGACTATCAACTACCAGCCTGTAGAGTTCTCTAATTTTAGGCTAAAGTTAAAACACGTATTGTATTGATGCAGATTCCATATCCTAGGACAGTGGGTAGATTTGTATAATTTCCTTTCTTTGAGAAAGATGAGTGAAATGGTTCCTATCTATCTAGTAGGGAAAGGTAGATTTAAATTTGGGCCTTCCTGTCTTTCAGTTTTGTTTTTGGTTTTTGTTGTGGTGGTAATGTGTGTGTGTGGTGTGTGTGTGTGTGTGTGTGGTATTTATTTCTTTGTTTGAGACAGGGCCTTGAATTCACTGTGTACCCCAGGCTTGCCTCAAATCCTGCCTCAGCATCTGGAGCGCTAGAATTACAAGCATGTGCCACCATGCTCAGGTAAACCTGTCTTTCACCACAGCTTTCTATCCTCTTCCTAAACCTGTAGGTCTGTACTGATGATGAGCTGTACTTCCTAAAGCTCTTTTTTTTTAATTTCATTCTTTAAAATTTTTATTAGTAAATGTTTGGCAGTACATAGTTATTACATTTATTGTAAGAGTTTGTATGTAAGATGTTTTAGTTCCTTCTTCATTGTCTTCCCCTTATCCCTCCCTGCATCCTCCAACTCTTATTCCCCTTCCCATCTGTGAAAGCCCTATTTCCATTTTTTCTTCAATTTTATTTTTTAATCCCTTTTCCTTTCCTTCTTTCCTTCCTCCCTCCATCTCTTACTCTACTTCCCATTTGAAGGAGATCTCCTTACTTTCTATTATCTATTTTTTTATTTTGATTTTTATTTATATTTTAGGTTTCTAGTATAAGAGAAACCATGTGATATTTAAACATGTGTCTAATTTATGTCACTTAACATTATGGTCTCAAGGTACATTCATTGTCCTGCAAATGACTCATTTATCTTTATGGCAGAATAGTACTCCATTGTGTATAAATACCACATTTTCAGTATCCATTCACCTATTGATAGTATATAGATTGTTTCCAAGATTTAGTTATTATAAATTGTGCTGCTATAAACATGGATACGCATGTATCACTGTAGTATGACTTTTAACTGTTTTGGGCAGATAGCTGAGCCATAGGGATTTCTATTTTTAGTGTTTTAAGGAAACTTTACTGATTTCTTTAATAGTTGTACTAGCTTACATTCCCATCAACAGTGTAAAAACAGTTTCTTCCTCTCCCCTGCAACCTAACTTGCATTTGTTATTGCTTTATTTCTTGTACCAGGAATCAAACTCAGGACCTCATACTTGCAAACATAAGCTAAACCCTTAGGCCACTGAGCTAAACTCTCAGCCCCGTTGGTTGATTTCTTGATCACCTTTCTTTTGGGAGTAAGATGGAATTGTAGGGTTGTTTCAGTTTACATTTCTCAAATGGCCACTGATGTTGAACATTTCTTTATTTATTGGCCATTTGTATTTCTTCTGAGAAGTGAATATTCATTTCATTGTACAGTTTCTGGTTGGATGTTGTATTTGGAAGAGCTTACTTTTTAAAATTCCTTATATATTCTAATCTTTTTTCAGGGGATTCCTAAAGCGCTTTAAAAAAAAAAAAACACAAATCTCAAGCACAAACAAAAGTAGAGAGAATACTATGACAAACCCTCATGTACTCACCTTTACTTTTAATAATTATAAAGCTATCCTGCATTTGCTTCATCTATGCTTTTTTCTTTCTTTTTCTACTGAAGTATTTTAAAGCCGATCTCACACAAACCTTAGTCATTATTAGTGGATTAACTTTAGTTACCTTTATTATGGAGATGATCTCGAAAATTCTTCCTAGCAAAAAATTCTTCCTGCTGGCAAAAGTTATGTTGAATGAATGAATGAGACAAGGAAGAAAGGAAGCAAAGGAGGGAGGGAAGAAGGAAAGAAGGAAGGAAAAGAAAGACAAAGAGAGAAAGTTAGGTTAATTGAAAAATTCTGTTGGATGTCTCGACCCCTGTGTTAATCTCTCTTTGAATAGGGAAGTATCTTCGTGCTTGAGAGTCTCTGGAACTTTATAACTTTAGACTCTTGTTCTTTTAAGACACCTAAAATTCACAGCTAGATTCTTTGAGAGATCTTCTAAACTTAATCTGTATGTTTTGTTTTAGTTTTTTTTAATTTGATTTGGTTGAGTTTTGTTGTTGCTGTTTTTTCTAGAGAGTTTTCATTGTCTCTTCATTAATGAATTGATGCTTCAAGACATGCAAAAGATTTGAGGTATTTTGGTATTTTGCTCATTTAACAGTGGAAATATGAGAATGAATGTGTTATTTTCCAGATTCAAAACAACATAAGAGGGGCTGGGGATTTAGCTCAGCGGCATAAGCTCCTGCCTTGCAAGCAGGCAGTTGTGAGTTCGATCCCTGGTACCGATAAAAACGAAAAAGACCAAAAAAAACAACATAAGATCTTTGCTTTTGTTTTCTTTTAAAGGCTTGATGCAGAACTTCTAAAATAATGTTCGGCATATGTTGAATACCTTTGCCTTCTGAAGTTTGTTTTGGGGAGATTAATTCCTTTGGCTTGTCATTTGACATGGTCAGAGAATTCATTCATTCATTCTCTCTCTCTCTCTCTCTCTCTCTCTCTCTCTCTCTCTCTTTCTCTCTCTCTCTCCCCCTCTCTCTCTCTGCGTCTCCTGAGGAGATATGAGTTTATTCAGATCACATGACAATTATCAATTATTTATTGATAATTATCCAAAATCAATTATATCAGCACACTCAAAAAATACATAGGATTATAGAATAAATTTGTCCACAAAAAGAAACTATGTTGGGGCTGGGGATTTAGTTCAGCGGCATAAGCACCTGCCTTGCAAGCAGGCAGTTGTGAGTTTGATCCCCAGTACAGACAAAAAAAAAAAAAAAAAAGAAACTATGTTAAAGAGAAATACTTTATTTACAATTAAGTATATTTTGCAAATACTTTTCAGTTACTGTTGTTAGAGTTTTCCCTTTCTACTTGGTATTCATTAGGAAAAATTTTTGTTTTGATTTATCTATGTCTGTAAATAACTGAATAAACTGCAGTGCTCATTGCTTGGAAAAAGACAAATATGTATAAAACATCATTCATTACTAAAAATAACTTTCAGTCTGGTAAAGAAACTATGTGCACAATTAGCAGTATGACACTTTATGCTGAGGACTGTTAGAGAAAGAGCTCACTTTCAATTGGAGTTCTGAAAGACTAGGAAAGGATGGTGAATTATAAAGCAGCAAAGATCCATTTTCAGGCTATGCCTAATAACTGTCCAAAACTTAAATATTTGATACACTTGCGAGTAGATGGAATTATGCATGTTAAGCATGTTTTGTTCATTAGAGAGAGTGCTGAGCTACCTTCCTGCCCCCTCCTTTTTTTTTCTTTTGAGACAAGGTCTCGCTGTATAACCAGACTGGCCATGCAGTCACATTGTAGCCCATCCTGGCTTCAAACTCATGGCAATCCTTCTATCTCAGCCTCCTGAGTTCTGGGGTTACAAATATGTTCAACCACATTTGGTTCCTTTTTAATTTTTTTGAGACAAATTTTGATAAATTGTAATCTTCTTCCTGCCTCAGCCTCCCAAGTAACTGGTATTTCAGTCATGTGCTGCCATACCTGCCATATGCTTTTATGTGGGTAAATTTCTTCTAAGACAAGTTTTATGAGATATTCTTAAAACTGCTACTACTGCTGCTTCTAATTCTTCTTCCTCTTTTTTTGTTTTGTTTTTTCAATACTGGGGATCGAACCCAGGGGCACGCTCTATCACTCTATTCAGTCCCTTAAATTTTTTTCAGACAAGTTTTCCCTAAGCTGCTCAGGTTGGTTTTGAACTTGCCCCTTTAGTAGCTAGATTATAGACATGCACCACCACACCCAATTAACTTGCTTTATGCTATTATTCTCTTTGCATTTTTAGCACAGTGAATTACTTCTATGAGTTATAGACAAAAAGCACAGTTGATTAATAGAAGAAATAATGATACATTTGGGTGATACAAATATATTCTATAATTTTATTTTAGCTAGGAATATATGTGGTTTAGTGGTTGTGTACTTGTCTAGGGTATGTCAAGTGTAGGATTATATTCCCAGCACTAAAAAACAAAACAAACAAAAAATTCTCTCTAGAAACTCTATTTCTATCAGATATCATTATTCAGAGTGTCAAATGTTTGAGTTCATTGATAATAGAAATATTAATGCCACATATTTTCTTTATAAAGTACTAACTTACTACTTTTTAGAATGGGGCAACAGGTAGTGTTTTTTGTTTGTTTGTGTTTTTGCTTTGTTCATAACTCAGTTTCATCCCAATTCAAACGCCTAAAATCACTTTCAAATCCAGCTGATGGCTAAACAGTACATTACATTAGTTTGTGATCCAAAGTGAAATTAATCCCCCACATGCAGACAAAATAGCCTGGCTAGGCCCAGTTTTACAGTCAACTGCCAACTCCGCTAAAGATTATATAAACACATAATTGCAAAACAGCACTGACGGGAACCT